AGGCTCACACATAGGGTTGTCCTCCTTTTGAGGAAGGTTATTTGAGCTTTTCCATCTTGAGGATGGTGCTGTTATCCCTGGATGATCTCCCTGGAGGCACTGTCAGCCTTTGTGGGAACAGCTCAGCTGAGATCCAGCTCTCCACTGACTTCTCCCAAACTCCCCTCTTCCTCAGACACCCAAAATTAGGTGTTTGCCTCTGGAGGTGAACTCAGTTCTTCATTTGAGTGAAATGAATCTTACCTCTGGCTGTAAGGCTAAGAAATGGATTCTAGAAATGAAAGCCACAGGAATTATTTAATTTGGAATACTGATTATTCAAACATGTCTGCATACATCTTCACAAACCCAACACAACACTACACACATACTTTTTCTCCATACAATTTAAGGCATTTTGTTTTCAACCTCTCTGTTTTATTCTCCCTGCAAATTTTTGATAAAATGAACCCTAAGAGCTTTACATGAGTATGCAGCTGAGGTATGGTCAAACTTCTCCTGGCATTAGTTGGGCATTTATTCAGAAATGTTTGTATTACCCCAGAGAAAGCAAAAAAAAAAAAAAAAAGTTACAATCTGGTAAAAAACAGTTGCTAAATGAAGTTTGCAGTTCTATTGTGGTTTGCAAAGTTCAAGCTCTCCAATAAATGCTTCAGCCTCTTCCAGCTGTTTGCTGCAGCACAAATGCCCAAAGCTTTTCCATGTTAAAGGGAAAATTAGTTTAAATTTTGTCTGCAAGGATGGGGCACTGAGCCATTGCAAATCCCGTTAGCTCCAGAACAGGGCCTCGTGCAAAATTGTCTGAGGGATCCCAGATGGTTGTAAAGTGCTTTGATACCATCATTGGCATAGTAAAGGACATCACAAGGGATAGGATCTACCCCTAATTTGGTCAATATTGCATTCGACCACTTCTCAGAGACCTGACAGGGTGAATTAACTCATTTTTTTAATCTACCACTACAGTGATGAGCACAGTACAAAGAGCTGGGGTCTGGAAGAGAATCTACTGGAAAGACTTTTCTCCTTGTTGAGGCTTCCAGTGAAATGAGGAATGAGTTCAACGTCTACTAAAGGGAAAAAAAAAAGGAAAATGGGGAAATCTTTGATATCTCGGACCCTTTTTTCTGGGTAGAGAGGAGGTGGGGTAGGTGAGAGCAAGATGAATATACAGGCTATAGGGGAAGATGAATGTACATCTCTGTGGGCTCTGACCAGACTTTGGCAATGAATCCCAATTTTGTCGTGTTTCTGTGGATTGGCAATCTCTCCAGGAAAATGGTGTGCAGCAGGTGAAAGGCATCCCAAAGTCACACAGAGACGATGCCCAGCAGAGCCACAGATCACTCCAGCAGCAAACAGCATGGCTTAAAGGGTGGGAACTAGAAGGTATCCCAAAGAAAACAGCCTTCCCTTTCCCCAAACCACTTATCTATTGAGACCACGGGATATTAATGAGCTACTGGCCCTCTAGAAATGAGGGCAGGTAATTGCAACATTACTCACAGGATTCAAGATCGAGTTTATCACATTTAGCTCAGAAGAAAAGCCCATTATGAGGGCTCAACTCATCAGAGATACTGAAATATGTGATGAAAATATACTTTTAAAAAAGAAAGAAAGGAAGAAAGAAAGAGTCAGTTTTTAGTTAGTTCTAGAAGTCCAGGTCATCCTGGTCAATCTCATCGGAGTTTTCTTTCTTTTTAGAAGCCTGAACTTCCTCAGTGTTTTCATCTTCCTTTGGATCAGCACCTTCAGCAACTGGCTGCTCCTCATCTCCCACGGGATCAGAACCCGAGGATTCTTTGTCCTCTTCTTCTTCCTCAGTGTCAGGATACATCTGGGAGGGTTTGGAGCTCTCATCACTTCGAACCTCTCCATTGGGGTGGTCGCTAGTGGGGTTATCATCACCTTTGCCTTCCTCTTCAACTGCTCCTTCCTCTTCAGCTGCTCCTTCCTCTTCAACTGCTGCTTCCTCTTCAACTGCTGCTTCCTCTTCAACTGCTCCTTCCTCTTCATCTGCTCTTTCCTCTTCATCTGCTGCTTCCTCTCCATCTGCTGCTTCCTCTTCAACTGCT